TATAAATATTTTAAAAAATGGAAGGTTTTCGCCCCTTTTTTTTTTTTTTTTTTTTTTTTTTTTTGAGTCACTGTTCGATTCAAAGAACTGTGCATCAGATGAATTTAACTTTTTTTGAGTTGAGAAAAAAGTTGAGATGCACAAATGATGAAGATAACAATTGTATTAAAAAAACAGAAACACATTGTCTAATGGCAGTTCACATCCACATCCCCTTCCTGCTTTCATCCCTTCAGCCGACCTTTGTGCTTTCAGTACAGTGACTCTTCCTCAGCAGCTGGAATACAGTATCTGCCACGTGTTAACACCGTTTGCAATAAACTGTGTCATAGACACTGCACAAGCCAAGCTGAGATCAATAGTTCTACATATTTCTTATTTCTACACCGAGCCTTGTGCTCTGATGTCATCAGGGGGATGAGGGCAGGAATCGTGACATCTTGTGAGAAAAACAGAAGATACAAATTCTCATGTTTTGTGGATTGTGTAAGTTGAAATCCAGTAAAAAAAAAAGGCTTGAAAAATAGGAAATGGAAAAAAACAGAAAACCCTTTACAAAGTGAGCTGGAGGTTTTGTTGTTTTTTGAGCCAAACACTGATCAAAAACAGGCAGTTTTAGGTTCAGCACAGATTAAGTTGATGTTTCTTATTTTCTCTCTCTTTTTCTCAGAGTACTGTTAAAACTTTTCAACGGTTTCTTTTTCCTCTTATATAAATAAAGTAAGTTAAACAAAAGAAGGCAGTGAAATATTTTTGCATTTTTTAGTTTAAAATTACTGAAATTCTTAGTATTTGTATAATGCTTTCTTATAATTTTGCCTGACTGTGAAGTTGATCCAGATGTTGCTGGGTGGGTACAGTTCACTGAGCATTCTGCAAAACAGCTGGTTTCACTGGACATGCGCACTAGTGCAGAGGCTCATGAGGCCTTTGAAGGGCTTTTGGAAATATGTGAACTGAAGCAAAGTTCGACAAAGATCAACAAATCCTAACATTTCACTATTTTCCTTTCAAATAATCATGGTGAGACGTTTAAAGACCTGTTTATATATCATAAAAATCACGTTGAAAAAAGGGCGACACTCAGCAGGTGGTTTGTAGTCATAAAGTACTTCCTGTTTTAGGTGTGTTGGTGCTGTGACTCATTTAATGAACAGAATTTAGTTTGAAACTTGTAAGAATGGAGCAGAGGAGAGCAGATATTTTAAAGTGTTTATGTTGGGATAAATTTAACCTTTTGGTTTTAGATTTGAAATCAGGCAAATGAAACTCATTGGTTTAAAGTTAAAAATATTCAACAAATAATGTCTGACTGGAAACTTCATGTAAGACCTTGTGACTCTTAGGGTTTGATTTCCAGATGAAATGCAAAATTTAAGTTATGGAAAGATGACTTCCATAACTTACACTCAACAAGTCAATGTAGCTGTGATCTTTTTTGGCTTAGGAAGGTGTAAATAACTTTGTCTGCTAGCAAGCAGGCTTCACTGTTATTGTGTAGTCCATAATATAACATTTTCCCTGTCAAAAATCCTTTTTGAAAACTCTTTGAGAAATGTTATTTTTGGATTAAGTTATATGTAAGACATAATAATTAAAAAGTAATATACATATACTATATGTGTTATGACATTATTGTTCTAAATATGTTTATCAAAACTTTTTATGAGATAATCTCTTGCAGTTCAGTTTATCTCGGCCGGATATATTTTCCCCAAAACAGATTACTGAAAGAGTTAGTTGACTATTTTGACTTGTTGTAACTGACGTTTATTCAATACGTGTCTTCATCCTCCCTAAGATAACAAAAGCCACGAGTCATTTTGAAACAACAATAACTGTTTCTCACTAACTAGTAACGGAGCTTACAATTACGAGCTTTCTATTGGTCCCTGAAAGCAGCCTAACTTTTCCTCCGAGCTGTGAAGTTCAGCGGGATAAACTTGTGAAAACCTGCGTTACTCTTCACGTTATGGAGGTTCTGGACTTATTCGGGTGCTGGGTTCGGTTTTATTGAGGATGTGAGTGATGAGTGCGTCAGGAAGATGTAGACACTACAGCTGGTGACGTAGCTCCGGTAGTTTCCTTTATGTTGCAGCTCAATCACTGAACATTGTTGTTTAGTGGAAGTTTTGAACAAAGTAACAGCTGCTGTTTGTTTCTCTCTGCTGGATGAAACTGCATTCTTCGGCTTTCTGTGAATAACAACTGCGGGGTTTGTGTGTGAAAAATGTTTAAAAAGTTGTCTCGGTGTCCCACCGCGGAGGACAACCTTCAGGGAAGGAGGCTGTGGGCTGCAGCCGCTGTCGCGGTGACCTTCCTGGGTTTGTTCGCGGCAACTGGCTGGGCAGAGGAAGCCTCCTGTCACGGAGCTTACGACCTCTACTTTGTTTTAGACAGGTAAGTTTTAAGATACTTTTGGCAGTTTGAATTATCCTATGAAAAAAAACAAAACAAAACAAATTAACCCAGATAATAAAGTGGTGAAAAGTATTTTATTTGTATTTTTTCTAAATTGCTGCATTTGAGTTCTTCAGGAGGGAGTTGGAGATGAGAGCTTCTGGGACAAATTCAATGACTTTTTTCACTATTAATTTAAGTAATGTGGTTAAAACCATGTGGGGGAAATGAAGTTGTGCAGTAAGAGTATTTCTACACGGTTTCCTGACTGACATTAGGTGTAAGGCAAAGGTTATTTTGTGTTGCACCATGTGTATAAAAGGCAACTTTAAGTGATTTAGGTAAAATACTTTATGAAAAGTGTAAAAAAAAAACATCTGCAAAGTTAAAACTAAATAATTAACCTGCCTTGCCCAGGAACACAGAGATGTGTGAAGCTGGAGTCGAACCCACTGAGTCACAGTTGTCCCTGTGTGAACTATCTGAGGGAGGGTTTTAATGTGTAAGACTATTTTCTATCAGTAGATCGGTATCCAACCTGCTTTCCTCAAAGCTTACAGCAGAGCTTCCACTTGGAGGCATCCAGATGTCAGTTAGTTGCAGTCACGCTGAACACTTGACGTCTTAACCTGATTGCAACAATCTTGACATGTTTTCTGCAGACTTTTTACCAGTATTTAACGTGTTTTTGTGGAAGAGATAAACAGCCGATGCCCTTGATTGTGCCACTCTGGATACAAATGTCTGATTTACACAGCTGCTGCATGCACAGCATGTTACTTTGTGGACTTTGCTGTGATCGGCTGTGACACGTTGGAAACCCGAAATCCGTCTGCAGAGGCCTTATAAGATGTTTAGCAAATTGTCTTGAAACTGTTCTACAGTGGCTGGAAAAATGATGAACATCTCATTGTAAATAACAGATTCAGGACCAATCTGATGCATTCAGGTTCTTGTGTGCGTTGTGGTTTCTTGCAACATGCGAAAGGAAACCTGATGAAACCACATAGGCCTTATTGTGACCTCCTTCTAACACCGCTCACTTGGTTTTCCCTCAGAGAACTTAACCAACACCAAACCATGTTGTGTTTATAGAACATAATTATTAATTTCATCTGTATGGTCATGTGGCTGTATTTTTCTCAGTCAAGTTATTTGAAGCAATTTTTCAGAATGAACAGAAATTTTAAATTAAGTCCGTTTCCTTTAACTCGTTTGGGGCAAATTAACTCCCACAGGATGTGGCCATTAAGGTTGTGTTATTTAGATTGCTAATGCTGCATAGCTTTTCTGTGCAGATGTTTGCTTTAAGTCATGATACACTGTTAAAGTTGAAGGTTTATCACTAACAGCTGTATCCAATGAGGCTGCATGTCTAAAATGTTCAGATAGCTGGAAGATGAAGTCTGTATTTGCACTTCAGATGGTTTGGACTTGCAATCAAAATCCTATAAACTGCAGATGCCATCCATGCATTGTCATCACTTTGTGTTGCTAATAGTAGTTAGCTTTCAAAGACCCACTCGCTAACTTGCAAAGAAAATCGAATGTAGTTATTTGTACCACAAAATAAAACTCGGGAAGTTTTGGTTGCAGGGATCATTTCTCTTCTTCCTGCTTTTCTACTTTGACCATAAAGTTCAGGATAAAGTGCTTCTGATGTCTGAACTTTACAAATCTGTCTCCCGAAAAGTTCCTAAAAACAAAAAATATAAAACCTTTCTTCAGTCTAGCAAAGTGCTGATGTCTTAAATGCTACTAAATTGTTGCAGTGTCTTATTGTGAGGTAAAAAAAACAGCTGACATCTCATGTATTTTGTAGTACAATCTGTTAACATTCAGGTGTGTGCATATCTTGTAAAAACAGAGCAGGCCTTTGAAGGGGTTCTGTGTGAATCATGCAAGCGGTGGTGTCACCACTCGCCTCAGATTTTGGCACAGCACTACTTCCTGTGTGTTTCATGCACTCGGAGCGCTGCTTCAGAGACTTCCCAGGCAGATCCAGTCAGCTCAGCAGAACTGTGCAGCAGCATCATGTAAGTGGAAGGTTACAGTCGTGGCAGAAACTGTTTTTAATCCCGTCCTCCTCCGGCTTGGAGGCGTGCCATCAGAGAAGACTGTGGAGTTAAACGCTGCTGCTCCCCTGACCCACTTTTAAACTTCCATGCTCTCATCTAAATGATAAAAAAAAAAAAAAAAAAAAACACCGGATGATGGCCAAGATAACTTGACCGTTGTTATGAGTTTCTTCTCAGTTCATTTCATTGGTGCAGATGAAAGAGCTTCTTCCGTGATGGGATGTAATTTCTCATGTATGTCTTGTTTCTGCACAGAGAACAAACGCCTTTTTAACTTTCTATCGTCATGCAAATGTTTCTCAACTTAATAAAGAAGAACATGTCTTCTGGTTCCAGATAATCCTGGATTTTATGCACATCCAGTTTTTGTACCCCACATTATTTCAAATCTGTTTGACATCCTTGTTTTTATCTGTAAAATATTCAGAAGAAAATGCAGGTATGTGCAGTGCCTAACCCTCTTGAATAACAAGGAAAAACTGAAGGAACTAGAAGATCTAGTACTGAACTTTGATTCTTATGAAAGTTCATGCAGTTGGTTAATAGATTTATAGACTAAAAATAGCAGCTTTTGTTCAATATACTCACTGTTTGAGTCACTGATCAGAGCAGATCAGTTTAAAAATTGGCTGACTTTGATCTTCTGACTGAATGCTGCGACAACAGAAACGCTCCATATCTGGGCCTGAATGCAGTCTGAACGGTGTGGCTGTCTCCTGAAACACTGTGAGGGTAAAAGACATGTTTAGTCTGTTCTGGGTCAACTTCCATCTGTGCTTGGAAGAGTTCACACCTGTTTCTGACACAGAGGCTGCAATGTGAACTGTTGCAACATTCTTTCAATCAATCATATATGGAATGTTTTCCCACTAGACGACTCTTTTGGTCTTCCATAAAAGTTCCCATTTGTTCTTTCAGAACATCTAAAGTCTGGTTTTTAACGGTCGCTGCGGCACTGAGCTGCTTATTGCAGACCAGAGACTCTGCTTCGTCAACGTTTCCCTTCACCTTCCCTCTGTGACCTTGTCTTTACGGAGCGGGGAGGAGAAAGATGTCCGATGAAAGATGAGCTGCCTAATGGTCAAACTCTTCTCTTTTATGTTCTCCGTGCATACAAGGAATTGTAATTATTGGTTTAATTACCGCTCCGCCGTTATGCCAAGGGCACGTTTTACTCACTGTGGTCAGACTAACACGCCATCGTTAGGCATCCAAATGTGGGCATCGTGGTTTTGTATTTCTCAAGTTTTTTTAATGATAACGGAAATGGTTCTTCCTGTTTAGTCTAATTATGGGTGAGGAAGAAGTTATTGATACTCTGTTCATTTTATAAGTTTACGAAGTATAGAGTAGTCTCTTTTCATGGTTGATTAATCTGAATGTGGAGAGACAAAACATTTAAACCAAATACTCAAGATAACACGAGCAGCATCTCTGCTGTACTTCACCAAATCTAAATAAGTCCACAGCTTCTGGGAAGTCGTCAGTAGGGCGCTATCAGCCAATCAGGGGTGAACTTAGGAAACGTGTGGCCAATAAGAACATTTTAGTTTTTATATTGAGTTATTTAAACACGAGAGAGACAAGAAAGATGTAAATAATCAAATATTGTGGATGAAATCCAGGCTGAAGCCGTTTCACTTTTAATACTTCCAACATTTACATTTACAACAGATATTTACTCAGGTTTAGTTTCATGAAATCTGGTGATTTTCCTGAACTTCATGCTAAATCAGCTTAAAATTGTGGTAAATTGTGATAATGAAATCTGAAATTCCAGGTTTATTCCCATAAATTCCAGTTAAACTCAATGAAATGTGAAAATGTATTGGATTTTACAAACTAAACCAGTTCTCTCAGGTAAAAGAGGTGAATGAATTTTGAAAATTTTCTGCCTATATTTCAAGAACTAGAGCAGAAAAATAAATCTCTACAGACAGAAACCCCCGCTCATGAACATTTCGCTACAGACTCACCAGTGCAATTATCCAGCATGTGGCTGGTTTTAATATCCAACTGTAGTTGTTGTGCAACCATCTACAGTATTTCGGCTCCCAGCTCTCAGTCTGCAGAGTCTTTTATTTGCTCTGTTCATGGTTGCTTGTTTTTTCCCTTCAGGTCTGGAAGCGTCTCCAGGAACTGGTTTGAGATCTACTCCTTTGTGAAGAACCTTACGGACCGGTTTGTGAGGCAAGTATTGAATGCATATATTTGAATATAAAATCCTATTTTAATGCATTAGTAACTTGATTCAGTAAGATAGAGCATGTAGAAATGTCTTTTTTCTAGGGAATAAAAAAACTATCCAGGTTGGGAAAAATGGAGTACTTTAACAGATTTCTAAGATAAGTGGTTTTACTGGATGAATGACATCATTATTTGCCGTCTGCCGCACAGATTTAAAGGACTTCCCACCTGTTTTCCAAAGTATCTTTTCTAGTCCTAATTAATAAAAGACAAAAGCGTTAAAACGGACTCGACGCGCTCAGCTTGCTTAATGTTTGAGTCAAACGGCGCCTGCCAGCACAGTACAGACGGTAGCGCCACAGCCAGAATGAAGTGGTTGGTTGAAGAAAATAGCAAAGGCACCAGGTGGGAGTGGGTGGCAGAGAGGAGCAGTCTTCTGGGCTGTGAGAATGGCCATTTGCACCGGGGGGGTCCGGCTCCACACTTATCCCCTGCTTCCACCACAGAACGGCTGACAGGCAGACAATGTACAGTAAAGCAAAAGAACACTGGAAGGCGACGGGGACAATCTGCTAAACAATGCTCGCTCACCAAGAGCACTTCTGTTCTGCCATGTGGAGCAAACTGGACTCCTTCATCACCCCCCCCTCCTCTCCTCCTCATCCTCAGATTTATCCCTGGCTTTGGCTTCAGTGCCTCTTCATCCCAAGTCTTTCTTAACAGAAAATATCTCGGTGGTCGTTCTGCATCACGACCTCGCCCACGCTCTCCAGCCGTGACCTTAGAGGCAGCTCGTTCTTTTTTTTTTTTCTTTTCAGTCCACTTATATTCCCGCTCCTCCTTTGCCGGATCTGGTCTAAAGATTGTGCGGCGTGTTTGTGGGGGAGGATGGCGACTGGGCCATGTGTCATGTGGTTGAGAAATATCAGCACCTCTCCTTATGCTCCGAAAGGCTTCGCATCTCTGAAGGAAACACTTGTGTTACTTAATTATCCGAAGTTTTAACTCGCTCTGTGGGAGGCCATCCGCGTGTGCCGAGTGTCTGTAGCAGAGGTGGGAAGTTACTGAGGAGACTTAGCAAACTACTTATTGCTTCATTTCATACTTTGCATCATTAGTTCTAGGTTTGGGGAACTTGTGCACTTCTTGTTTGTATGTATTTCACAAGACAGATTTGTGACCTGAAATTTGTGGCTGTATTGTGGCATATCTCATGTTATTCTATATTTGCGTCATATAGTCATTTTTAGATGCATTGTGGAGCTGACAGGAAATAATACTTCACTAAGAAACTCTAATTAGAATAAGAAATGATCTTTTCATGTAGAAATGTGATTTTTAATTCTGCTCATTGTCTTTTCTTATTTAATAAAAGCTGAAAACAGAGATTATAGGTGTTGGAACATGGATCTAGTTCCTGAGACGAGATTATAATTATTTATTTAAGCCAAGAATGCATTTTCTTTCTTTATATTTTTTAATAAAGTAAAGATTGGACCAGTGCAAAACCTTGTTTTAAAGCAGATTAATTCAGTTCTGTTTTCTCTGAGTGGTTTCCAAATGTTTTGATCCGTGCAAGTTGAAATCACCACTGGGGCCATATGATCTTTTTTTTATAATGCAAAATTATTTTTGTTTTTACAAAAAGAATCACAAAAAATTATAGAAAAATTTGTAAGAATTTTTTTTGTACAAATAAATTAAATTTCTTTATTTTGTACAATTTTATTTTTTACACATTAAGAACATGCTATTTAAATGTTAAATTAAATAATTTTGTTTATACATCATTATACTATATTTTCTGTTTATATTTTTATTTTACGTTTTTTCCAATGTAATGAACTGTACCATCTTGTTCTATGTAAAATATATTTATGTATTTAAAAAATAATAATTAAAGGATTTAGCGTTAAATTTCAGTATCATGCTGTGTTTTAAGAAACAAAATAAAAAACAATAAGTTATTAAAGGTTCTGAAAAAATCTAAGATATTTGCCTTAAAAAATAAAGTTAAGTTTTTTCTATTTTATTGATCAAGAAAATGTTTCTTTAATTTTTTAACTCAGATATCTGAGTTTTTTCCCTGTTTTAAGCATATTTGTCATTAAAATCTTTATAATTGGACTAAAATAGGCGTTTCTTTAACAACTGGTGTTAATAGTGTTTGTATGGATTTTGTGAAAGTGAAGCTGGGTGTTTACACAGAAACCACCTGCTTGTGAAGCAGAAAACCTGTGAATGTCTCCGTTCTTTAATGTGGCTGAATGTAAATGGCGGCGGGCGGGTCGGGTCGGGTCGGGTCGGGGGGTTCTGGTCAGCTACCTATAAAGTGACAGGTACTCGGTGTATTAATAGTGTTTGTCCAGCAGGATGTTTGCGCGTGACTCATCGTCAGCACAACATGTTTCTTGTCTGATTAATCACTTCCTCAGTGGCTCCGAGATGCTTCAAGTCATGCACTAAAATTAGCTGACATTAAAAGAGATCCTTCTGTTTGCATCATTATTTATGCATCTTAATATCTGAACTTAAAACCTGGACATAAATCACCCGTCTGTAGATGTTCAGCTGTGATGAGTGCAGCTATGACCTTTAAGAGATGTCAGAAGTTTGATTCTCCATCTGAATCGTCACGTTTGGTGTCTTTAATCGAAGTAAATCAGTTCCTTGGTTTTGACTGAATTTCTTGTGTTTTTTCTCCTCAGTCCACGAATGAGAGTCTCATTCGTAACTTTTTCGTCCAGAGCTGAAGTTCTGCTGCCTCTGACTGGAGACAGGTAACAATGAACTCAGATACTAATTTCATAAAAAACATTTTTACACTGTTCTAATTCATTTTGGAAAAACAGATTTAAAGTACAGTTTAAATTTTTATCAGCTATTTATATAATATCAAATGTAAAATCTGAGCTTGTTTCTTTGGTTTTTGTCTTGATGTGTCATGTCTTCTTCTCATATTTAAAATTTAAATAATAAACTTAACAGTTTTCTTTGTAATAGTTTTGGGGTTTTCTTTAACTGCAACTATTTATGCCTCAGAATTTCTCAAGAATTTACTTTAACTTCTTTCCTCTTCCTGTTTCTTCCCAGAATATTTCTCAGTGTGCTTGTTTTTGTAGCCTGTGGGTTTCTCTCTGCTACAGTGACTTCATCTTTACACCACACCTCATTGCTGTTTTTAAGAGTGTGTGCAAATCATTAAAGCTAAAGTAATGAAATTCAGTTTTTCTTAATAGAACAGCTAAGATTTGGATAAAATCTGTTCCTACGTGTGAAGCATTCACTGCATTTATCCACCCAGGTATGAAATTGAAGAAGGCCTGAAGCGCTTGCACAACGTGGTACCAGCAGGTGAAACGTACATGCACGAGGGAATAAAAGAGGTGAGTTTTATTTTCTTGTATTCAGGTATTTAAAACTGTTTAGAAGACCTAAAAAATATTCGTAGAAGACAATATTTTATTTAAGGAATAAATAAAAAGAGGGAAATGGTTTAAGAGGTGGACTGAAACTGAAAGTGAAGTTTGTCAGAACTTTACAAACGATGTGCATTTAATTCTCAGAAATTAAGTGATTGAAAAATTAATCAAATAAAGTGAAAAACTGGGGTTATCAACTCAAACAGATTTTATCATAGGCTCTGCTACTTTTTAAACACTCCCTGCGCTGTAGTTTGAATGCTATTTTCTTCTGTTTCTCTATTTGCCTAACATCTAGTTTTTTTAAGTAGCCTCTGCTCTCAGCTCCCCTCACTCTCCTCCTGCTCTCCTCTCATCCTACTCGGTGCACAACGGCTCTGAACGTTGCCAGAAACAGAAAGAACCCTGTAATTATTTTACTGTTGTAGACAAAAAAAAAAAAACAATAGCAAAGCATTCATTTACATCCAGTTATTCACTACCGAAGCAAACTAAACTTATATGAACAAATGAAAAGCGTGAAAATGATGAACACAAAAGCAGCAAAGATAATCTGACCTCATGTTAGCCTGCTACGTCTGTCCTGCTTCAAAAATTATGATAAAGTCTGGTAATATGTAACTTAATGTAAAGAAATCCTGCAGACTTAGAAGATTTTTGGTTTCAATAATTCCCTCCTAATGCATCGTCCTCAAAAAAACAAAACTTGTCGTGATTATGCTGGTCAGTTTCCTCTGCAAAGTCAGAACTTTTTATTGTTTTTAGGGTTTTGCGAACAAGTACATCAATAAGTACATCTGGCATTACTTTATAGGATAAGTAATAGTTGTGTACTATTCCCCACATTGTTACCCTTCACAGATTGTTTCTTTGTTTTAATCCCACTTAAAGTCTGTTGCCTTTGTTAATATTTCTCCAGGATGAGTAAAATTCAGTTATTTGTGTGGAAGTATATTCACAAGAGTACTAATGAGAATTTTACAGAGAATGTGGCACCTTTTATAGATTATCCTTGATAATATTTGTCATATAATTATAACCTTCTTGCTGCCCGGCGACACTTCAGCCCAAATGCAGACCATGTAAAATGCACATTTTAGGCTTAAAGATTAGCAATAGTTGTGTAATCCTGGATTAAATATCGCTTCTAATCGTAAATAGTGTAATTAAATCAGTAGGTATGAGTACATAAGTTTGTGCCTCTACCTATTGCTGTTTTGAGCATGGAAGCTGGAGACGTAATATGTAAAGATGTGGTTTGTTAGTGTTGTGGGTTTATCTGGAGCAGTAAACAGAAACGTCCTGTATTTACTCCTGAAGGCTTCCGCTCAGATCCAGCAGCAGTCCACAAAGTCCTCCAGCATCATCCTGGCTCTGACAGACGGGAAACTGGAAGTGTACATCCATGAGCTCACCAAGCAGCAGGTGAGCTCTGCTTTCCTGACTCACCAAACTCACACATTTAATCTTTGTCTTCATTTTATTTAGACATATTTCCTTTCCAGAAGCCATCTTTTCTCCATCTTTTTTTTAAATTCTGACATCCCTCATGTGTTGCTTTTTTTTATTCATGGAGTTTCGCTTTTTGTCTCTTTATCTCCACGTCTGACCTTTGGCGCATCGGTTGCCTGAGCTGCAGGCTGATGAAGCCAGGAAATATGGCGCTCGTGTTTACTGCGTTGGTGTCCTGGACTTTGATGAGCAGCAGGTAAGCGAGCTTTAGTTTTAATCTGCAGTAACAAAACGCCCGACGAGCTCGTTGCTCAGTGTGTACAGAACGATTACGGTTTTTGTATAAGAGACTTTGGCAGGATGTGAGAACGTTGTGGAAGGTAAACATCTGAACAGGTTCTACCTGTGAGAAAAGCCTCGTTAAATACGTCTGCATTTAAAACTGTTAAGACGTGGGAATGGGGTTTAAAACGTTGACTCAGTTCTGGTGATTATCTGGTTTAAATATTGTCAAATTAGGGTGAAGCATGTTGTTGAATTAAAAATTAAAATCGTGGCATATATGTGAAATATAACGTGAGATAAACGGTTTCATGAATAATTTTATAGAAACCATATAAAAATGCAGAATCTGTGACTGAACAGCTGGTAGAATCAACCTCAGCAGCGAAGACTTTGTCAAGGAATTTCTAATCTTAACTAATTTATATTATTAAAAATAAATATATTAATAAAAAATGCAACAATTTCCACTTCGAATAGACATTAATAGGAAGTTTTCCAGTCACAGTGAATCGTTCACACTGGTGTCCAAACTTTTTGCATTGTGAGCCCAAATAGAGGAGATGAACGCGCTGAGAGGCCATTTCTTTTTTCTCTTCCCTTTTACCTACTTATTAATAAAATTAGCAATAAATATTATAATAAAACTCATTAGAAAAGAACAAATTACAGTAGGTTTAAATAAGTTTCTCAGATGTTTGGTTTAGATGTTTGTTCAAGAAGATGTAAATGTGGGCCACACAGAACTGCTCGTAAGGCCATAAATGGCCCCCGGACCACACTTTGGACACCCCTGGTTCACACTTTGTGTGAATATTTATATTTATATGGTTACACAGTTTACACTTTGTTGTTTTCATTCACTCAGTTTCATGCCAGCTGCTGATTTTACAGTTATTGATTTTAATTATTGATCAACACACGATAATTGGTAAATACAGAGGAAAACAAAATGGCTGTTCTCAGTTTATTAGACATTTGTCCTGCAAACGAATAAAAACAAGCCAGAATGTCTCATGATTTGGTATACAGTGAGATTTAGTTTAAATCATGTTCAATTGGAATAAATGTCTATTTTTATTGAATTTATCCTGATTTGTGACACAGATGCTCCGTCGTTTCTCTCCACTCTGTTTTTATCGTGATATTTATCTCCATCAACCGTAATTTCAGTCCAGTATTTTTCTCGCACTGTATCTTTAAGTGCCATCGGGCCATCTGAGCTGTAGTCCGACTGTCACTGATGTCTGGAGTTTCACAATTTCTCTTCCAACATGGTGGCCCATCCCTTGTAACCATTGGTAACCATCCTGCCACAAGCACTTATTAAGTCAAAAAAAAAAAAAAAAAAAAAACAAAGGCAGTATTGCTCCCAGTTTGTGCTGCAATCATTTTTTTTTATAGTTGAGCAAAGTGTTTGCCACAGTCCTGCCATCTGCTCCGTCTCCTCCTGCCCGCGATGCGAGGAAAGACGGCGTTCAGTCATAAAAAGGAAAACAGAAAAAGGCAGAGAGCAGTGTTAGATCAGCAGCGCTCCTTGTTTACTCCTCTTTTCCATGATTCCAACAGCTTGCTGATATTGCGGACTCCAAAGACAACGTGTTTCCTGTCAAAGATGGCTTCCACGCTCTCAAAGGCATTGTCAACTCTGTAAGTTTGGCTGCTCTCCGTTTCTTTGCTTTTTCTATATGAAGAGAATCGAGCGAGCTCTGTCTCCGCCGCCGCACTTCTGCAAACATTTAGATGAGCTGCATGAAAAATGCATGTTTGCATTACATCCGGATTAGGCTTTATGGAAAAATATGAGCCGGGGTAACATAAAAACTCAATTAGTGAATAGCTGTCAGAGTGAGAGTCCCTTACAGTGTTAGCAAGCAGCCTCCTTGCTCTCTGCCAGCCAATTAGTGATACTTTCCATTTGCAGCAGCGTTCAGACTGAGTACTGTCAGCCAAGATGGAGCTTTGTTAGAACCCACTGCCCTGTAGAGCACTTTGGCCAGAGTGGGGCTTTACATCTGCAGACAAGGCCAGTAGTGTTTAGGAGGAGGCCAGAGCCACACTGAGCTGTCAGACCTGCAGCTGGAGGGACGCAGAGCCAAAGGGTGGGACTTGTTTCTGATGCATGATGCAGGAAAGCAGCAAACTGTGATTTATGGTGCTGCTTTCAAAGGGACTGGGGTTCTAAAACCGAACCTTTGAGTCTTTGTCTTTCATGAAGACGAATGACTGTTGGAGATCTTCTGTACCGAATGGTTTGTTTCAGTGGCTTTACAGACTGACGCTTTGGTATATTTTTAATAAAATCCAGGCACTGCAAAAAATACAAAATCTTACAAGGTATTTTTGGTCTAGTTTCTTGTGCAAATATTTTACTACATGTGAAATAAGACAAAACCAATTTATAAGTAACTCTTCAGCAAGAAGTGGGAACTTGTTTTCAGTCAATAATTCCTTAATATTGATGAAAAAGTGCTTGTTACACTAGCAGGTTATTCTCTCTTAACATGGGAAATCTGTCTGAACTGGTATTTTTTCATCAATGTTCCAGAGTTATTGACTTAAAACACTATAAATCTCCTATATCTTAATACAAACTTATTTGTATGTTAGTTTTGTGTTTTTGCAATGTGCAAATCAATAAGCTAAAAAAAAACAAGAATCTCTTTGGCTGCTCTGTACTGCATTTAGTTCATGCATTCAAACCTTACTGGATGCAAAACATGCAGATGTACAGAAAACTGAAATCCTTTGCTGCAATTTTGACTGAAGTCAGTTTATAGTTTATAATAATTACCATTAATATCAGGGAGGATATTTGGGGCAAAGTGTGACGTAAACATTTTCTTCCTTGCACCGCCATCCTTTCCTGAACAGCTTTGAAGCCTCTTTCAGAGCGAATGTGAAAAAGTCCCGCTCCCCCGTCCCATCCCCTCTGAAGAAGCAGAGATCAGCAACGCTTCCAGAATCCAAACGAAACGAGCAGCATTCCTCTCTGATTAGTAATCCTGGATTCCTCGGTTGTTGGCCTCGTCTCTTCTCTGCTGGATTGGAAGGATTTGGGATCATCTGCGCAGCCTTTCGCTGCAGGATCCCCGTCGCCTCTGCGACCTGCCTGACAAAACTCACAGAAAGAGATCAGAAAGTTTGGTTTCAAGGCTCCGAAAGGCTGTTTATGTTTTCTTGCTCTCCATGCAGCCTTGGTAATCTGAGCTGCAGCACTGCAAAAACACAAAATCTTATAAAGAGTTTTGGTCTAGTTTCTACTGCAAATATCGTAGTAGACTTGAAATTAGACAAAACAAACTTATAAGTAACTTTTCAGCAAGAAATAGGAGCTTGATTTTAGTCGATAACATGGGAAAATATCTTTTAGTAGGTGCAAGGGAACTAGAACTTTTCATGAATATTAAATAATCAAGCTGCAAATATCTTGCAAAAGTTAGTTTTGTCTTTTTTCAAGTGCACTAAGATATTTGCAATAGAAACTTGACGAAAAATACTGATGATTTAGTTTTTTTGCTGTGAATTTTTGAGGCAGAAAACTTTGATTATTTTGTGTCTGAACAAAATGAGATCATTTCTGCAACCTACTGAGATTTAGATTTTTCCTTTCTCTAGCGCGCCACCTTTGTTTAAACTGAAAAAAATTCAAAGAAACACATCTGTGAGTGACTTTTTTGTCACATGGAAACTTTGGAGTTCAACACTTTAATTTGAGTCGATGGATTCAATAGATACAAAAACTTACATTAAGATTTTTTTAAAAATCAAAATCTTCTATAAATTGACTTTTAGTATTTTATCAGTGTCATCTAGTTGTAGATCATTTTAAATCTGTGTGAATTGTGACAAATTGGGCTAGGTAAGGTCTCGAGTTCATAGTTTGGAGGAATCTTAATCATCAGTCTCCATAGCAACCATTAGATGTTGTCTGCACGCAAACAGCTTCTTGAAAAGCATGACAGGAAAATGGGTTTTCAGTTCAACCATCACAAACGTAAACGTGTGAAATATGATAAATGTGGACTTTGCACTCCATGTGATTCTCACAAGAAACAAAGAATGACTAAGTGAAAGTATGGTGCATTGTGAAGCATGGTGGAGGATCTGTGATGCTGTGGACCTGGGAATCCTGTTAGGATGAATGACTTCATTAAGTCTTTGAAACGACAGAACGATTCAGTTCAATTCAAACATACTTTATTTATACCAAAGGGAAAATAAATGTCATGCTGACAGCTCAACATGTCCTGGATAACATAATCTGATGTCACGAAGTTCCGCTAATCCATCTCATTTGCTTTTGCCACTCCTCTCTAAATCTCTGTCTGGCTGCAAGGTTAGAAACTCATCTGGGATTTGGGGTCATAGGTCAGGTATTATTTGAGTTTTTGAGATGCTAACCAGCTGCTCCCAGTTTTAAAAATAGCACCTTGTTTAGGGTGAAAATGATTAATCAAGTTAATTGAGAAAAATCGACTATTGAAATAATCGTAAACTAATTTATTAATCGTTTAATCGTTAACTGAAGTATACAGACTAAAACAAAAGGCTATTTGCTGGAGCAGCAACATATTTAGAGCTGTGATTTAGTCAAAATCATACAAAAAATCTACATTTTGCAATTCAGTCAATAAAATAAAAAATATGTACTACTAGAACTCAAGATTAATCAATTAATCTTTGGAATAATTGATAGTTTAATCAATTACTAAAAAAATGTTAGGTTCATCCCTTCCTTATTGCCAAGGTTACTAATCATAACAACTGTCTCCAAAAAAAGTCAGATTTTCCAGCTGCATAGCAGAAAACCAGAGGGAACAACTGTTCAAACATGGGACGCCTGAAGAATAAATTAGAACAAAGGCAGCATGCACCATGAGCGGAGCTATTTTCAAAGTTAAATAATAATCTCCATTATTCAAAATTGGTAAAAGTTGAAGTGATTTTCACCTGGCATGCCAAACATTGTGGTTTTCTAAGTGTATCTATTCCCCTCCATTTGTTTTTCTATGAATGTATGAAGCTGACCTGATTTGTAGAAAACCTTTAGCTGGCTGAGATATCTGAGCGACTCTGGATATCTGGACGTCTGCCTTCTCTCCTTCACACTCCATAAATAATGTTTCCCTTCAGATCGAGAAGAAATTAAACCAAACTCAAACTTCTCATTTCCACATTCAGCATGTTTACTTTGTACCCCCAAAGTGCCTCCCATCACATCCGTTAATCCTTTAACTAAACGGTTAATAGACATATTTTTATTGTTTAGCACCAAACATTTTTGCGCTCTTGAAGGGGAAAACTTTTATAATTTCACAGTTTGAAGCCTAAGCAGGCAAACTGTTTTATTTTCCCACATTCCCCCGTTTTTCCCCTCTTGTTCACTGCCAAGGAAGTAATTAGAGTGGGAAAATGGAGGCGCAGAGGAAGAGGAGCAGATCCATTTCCTCCCAGCTGTCATACAACCCCGTATCAAACCATCATCCCTAACAAGGCTGTTGTAAACACTTCCATCTTCCACTTCTCAGATTAAGCTTCTGTCCAACATCAAATGAAAGGCTCAAATGTCTTCCACTGCCATTAATATGCTTCTTCTTACCCGCCCTGAGCGGGGATTTGCATAGTTTTCCCTTTGTTGATTTATTGAATCACAGTGGGAAGTGCAGCTCCATGACAGTGCGCTCACACAGGCCTCTTTATATGATAATGCAAGATCCCTGAGAGGCTTTTAATAGAACTGAGGAACAGTAATAGTCTTGCATAATTTCCCCATAAAGGCTGACACAGCTGCTGTTTTACCTCCCGTTCTCCTTTTCCCGCCCGGAGCCAATCAGGAGCGGGACGTTTCTCAGGTGTTGCTCCCTGATCTGTTTTCTAAACTTGACAGAGCCAATAACCGTCAGCGACTGATGTATTTATTCCTGCCATGTCCGAGCAACAGCGAATGCATTCTAAGCTGTTGTTTTTTTTTTCTCACATCCTGCAGATATTGAAGCGATCGTGCACAGAGATCCTGACTGTGGAGCCTTCCGTTGTGTGTGTGAACGGTGGGTGGACTGAAGTTTGTCCCTCTAGCTTCTGCAGAGACGCTGCAAAAACACTAAATCTAACCAAGTATTCTTTGACTAGTTTCTAGTGCAAATATATTAGGATGCCTGAAATAAGATAAAACTAACTTACAAATTACTTTCCGTTAAGAAATAGGAGCTTGTTCGTAATAATGTCTTAATATTGATTAATATGTCAATATTAAGGAATTATTTCCTAAAAAGAAGCTCCTATGTCTTGCTGGAAAGTAACTTAGTAAGTTAGTTTTGCTTTATTTAAATTGTAAAGATATTTCCACTAGAATCTAGAGAAAAATACTTTGTAACACTTTGTGTTACAAAGTATTTTTACTTTGTAACACAAAGTTACAAAGTATTTTGTAACTTTGTGTTGCATTTTTCTAAGAAAACTTGCAGCCGTGTCTCAGAAATCAGGTCACACAACAGGAGATTCTGAAACTCCAGACTCTGAAATCCCTCCTTGCGGTCTTATCTCACATTTGTTGACATTCCAGAATCCTTCGACATCGTCCTCAGAGGGAACGGCTTCTCCATCGGACAGAGCAACGAAGGCGTCATCTGCAGCTTCATCGTTAATGACCAAACCATCAGTAAGTTCCCTAAACGTTCTGGAAATCACCTCTGGGTCGACAGTTGCTCTGAATTACATGTCCTTAATTTATGTCTCAACTATAGCTTTTGTTCCTCTTTCAGTTGAAAAGTTACAAAAACAAATCTTTACTTCATCAAATACAGTCACGCTTTAAAAGATGTTTGGAAAAGTCAAGAGGTTCATCACATTCTTCTATTTCATTGATTTTATTAGGATTTTAACCAAAAAACACTAATATTTGGGTGATTAAGTGGAAAGAAGGTGTACCCTCATTTTCAAAATGTCTTCAGAATAACAATCTGAAAAGTGTGGTGCACATTTGTACTCAGTACTTTAGGAGAACAGCCGTGCTTTTTAGGCATCTGCATCTTTGCCCATTCCTCTTTGTAAACTAGACTGTGTGTTGTCAGTTTTTATGTGCTGCCACAAGTTCAGTCAGATCCAGTTATCTCTCTTTCATAAAGTCCAAATTATAATCCAGTCACATGAGCTGTGACTCTTAGCAGCTCCTCTAGAGTTGCAGTTGATCTTATTTAGGAGAGAAAAAGAACTGAATGCAAACATTTTCCTTCATCTTCACTACTTCTAGTTGGTCTGTCACATAAAAGTCCAACTAAAATAAACCACAGTTGGTTAAAGTTGATAAAACAAGAACAAATTCATAAACATGAAGTGCCTGAGATGTACAAAATATCTTGAATTTAGGTCAGTTAACTGTTTTCTGTGGCTTCACTGCAAAAACAAAATCTTGTCTTAATACACTTGAGATAAGACAAACCTAACTCACATGTAATGTTTCAGCAAGATATAGGAGCTTTTTTTAGGTAAATAATTCCTTAATATTGATGAAAAAGTTGTAGCTACACTTAACAAGGGAAAATGCCAAGTTATAAATGAATGTTACTTGTAAGTTAGCTTTGTCTTATTTAAGGCGTACTAAGATAATTGCACTAGAAATTGATACTTGGTAAAGTTTTGTGTTTTTACAGCGTTCCAAATAACCCTCATAGGTAAAGGAATGAAAATAAAATCAAGCACAAAGAGCTGGTGTACAATAATCTCTACGTTGGATCATCTGATTTAATCTGGTTGAATTTTCCTCAGACAAACACACAAACTTGGACAAAGGAATCCCCCCCTCTGTCGCCTCTTTCTGCACTGATCACTTTTCATTTACAGTGACAAAACTAAGTGGATTTTTTCCCCTTTTATTTAATCATATAGTTTCATCTTTTGGTAAATATTTGGCTTAAACATTTTTGAGGTTGGACGCGGCTGAACGACGGCCGTGTCGTGCCGCATCTACGTCGTCTGCATTCATCAGAGGAGCGAGGCTATATAGGTCACTGTGCTCCTTATTTTGAGCTCGCAGTCTGTTCTGTTGAGAAATCCTTTTTCAGGAAGCAAACGGGATTTGGCACCCAGAGCCAATCTTTTAAAGCTCTCATTTGGCCGTGGGATCTGCGGGATCGGCGGCTGCCAATGACAACACTTCCATTCCTGACAAGTTATTTTTGATTTTTCAGCATTTCATCTCAACTAAAATACTTGAACATATTTTCTTTCTCCTTTTTTTTTTTTCCCTTTTTTAAAAAAAAAACAACCCCCTTATCTGAATTAGGGAAGTGGCCATTAGCAGATGTCTTCCTGTTAGTCCTTTCTCAGTTTAGGCTGTCTCACATTCGCCCACTTGGGGCTATTTATTCCCTTATTGGCTTTTGCATGTGTTCAGTCCAGACCTTTTTAACAGTGGGGCACCTTATAATTATGGACAAGCATCATGGCAACTATGGACCACACGCCACATATGTGAAACAGATGCTTCACTCGTCTCCATCAGCAAACCAGTTGGAGGCATGTGCAGAAAAAACTCATCAGTCATATGAATAATCTCAGTGGCTGCCTTTGTCAACCTTTGATGAGCACACACACGCTTATACACACACACAAATTATAATCCAATCTGCCATTCCTTTTGTTTTTCCATCCACAACTCAGAGCTTTATGACATGATGGAGAGTTAGGGCCACGCTAAAAACATAGATAAAAACACAAGAATAAAGTCATAAAATTGCAAAAGCAAAGTCAAAGCATTACCAGAATCAATATTTATTCTTGTAATTATGACTTTATTCTAGGAATATTGACTTTATTATCATATGTTACTTTGTTTTTTAAATATAATGTCTTTATTCTCACATCACTTTTTGTTTTCTCAAAGTTTTATGACTTTATCCACATATGTTACGACTTTATTCTTGTATTATTCCGACTTTACTTTCGTACAAGTTTATTTTTGTATAGCTTTGACTTTTTTCTCATTATATCATGACTTTATTCACTTAATATTTTTTATTATTATTAGCATGCCCCTCATACTCTGTCACGTTATGAAGCATTCAACATGTGAAAGTTCTGATGAAGAAATATTTTGCAACTTTTTTATGAAAAAATACATTTGTTAGCGTTTAAAACAGTATTACCGTGTTATGCTATCATTCAGATACTGACCACATATTTCACATTGAGTTCATCTGAGGACTCAGTCTGTTGTGGTGATGAGATTAAGGTTCAAAACGGAGCCGGTAATGATGATTGGATTTCACATATATATTTTTTATTGAATATAAAGAAGTCTACAGTTTTTTTTTTTTTCCTGGATTACTCGTCTATTTTCTTTATCTTTTACTTTATTTCTCACATCTTAACGCCAAACCACAACTCTGTTCTTCCACTGGTGTTGATGCAAAGTAACGTTTGTTTTGGTGAGTTTTCAAAGCCCAGATTGGAGGAAGCTTTTAAAGACTGAAATATGAATAAACATAACTACACCTTTTATTTTCTTAAAAATGAAAGATGTTCTAAATGAAAAGTTCCATTTTGTTTATTTCACTGACTTTAATCATCAAATAACAATAATGCACAATGAAGTTATTGCTCTATTTTATAACAGACTTACAGCTGAAGGCCAATGAAGCAAGTTTCAGATAAACCTGCTTATCCAAAGTGTGTAAAACATTTAACCAAATTTTTTTTTTACCATTTGTTCTTTTCTAATTAATTTCATTAAAACTTATGTTTAATTTATTGCTGGGCATGTTAAATTAGAACAATTCATAGCAAAACTGTTTCATTTTCATTTAAAATAGTCACTTTTGAGTGATTTTTGTCCCACTGTGCAAAAATGTTTGGACTCTGCTGTTTTAAATTGAACTACAGTAGTTTTAAACGTGATCTGGATCCATATTTAAAAGTAGTTTGGTTCCACATAAGAGATGCAGAAAATAAAAAAAAATAAACTGTTGTGTTTGTTTTCCAGACAACAAGCCAACCAGTGTGCGCAATGACTACCTGCTGTGTCCCGCTCCCACACTGTATGATCCTGGACAGTAAGTGGAAAGTGGATTTACTCTTATTGTTGAAGGAATTGATTGATATCAGGGGTCGGTATTTATTTCATGTTGTGGGTGACGAGTTGTAAGAACTTAATCTTTTCAAACCTGATTGTCGTTTTTTCTATTCATTACAAAGGGCAAATGATTCGAAAACATCCAAAAACTATTCCCTAAATGCCATATAGGTGAACAAGGAAGAGATCAGCTGTCTTAATCCAAGCAATAATGATTTTTATTGACCTTCTTGGTAGAAATCATCTAAACGTGAGCATGCAGAGCAGCTATAAATGAGCACAGTGCGTGTAAATTAATTTAGCACTGCAGATATGCTCAGCAGCTCGTATGTAAGGTATGACGTTGGCAAGTTCACAAGAAAAGTGTGAAATCTCAAAGACAGACATCACAGACATCACATCAACAGTTAGAAAAGGAAACCTGGATATAGATTCAATATGCTCTTCTATAAATTGAATTGTTTTTTATAAACTGAAGGAAGGACGCTGATTAATGAGCTAAAAAGCAGGTCGTTTGTTTTTTTAATAAGATCCCAATATTTCCTTTTTCTTAAATTACAATAATCCAAAGTGTTTCAGAAGAAATGTGTCTGTATTTTCATCCTTTTCTGTTCTTTAATTTCAATTCTGTTTCCATCTCCTCAGTTTAAGCAACTTGTTTCACTCCTCAGATTTCCTGCTTGCTTTTCCACATGTCTTTCTTTCTGCAAACAAACGCCGCCTAAGTCTATAAATCATCCGTATGCATTTTAAAAGTCGCAGTAAACAGTGCAGTCAGAGAAACACTGCGAGCATACGACCCACGAAGATCGAAGAGGAAACCGTGCAAACATGCGTTTTATTCCCGTCTGGGTGGTTATCGCTTGATTTTAACGACATCTTTTATAATCCCAAACCGGAGCAGATGATTGCTAAGGCATTCTAGATGGAACAACAGATTTTAATGTCCTTGCTGACTACAATCCAATCAAAAATGTATGATTATGAGCGCTGCTGCCTCCTCAAGGCCTTTGAGCTCTAAAAGAGATTATGTGTCATTCGATGACAGCGACGCTGTAGCTGTTCCAAACCAGCCTGAACCTCACCTCTGCTAATCCACAGATTTTTAAAAGGAGGTGATGGGTTGTTTTTAGCCGAAGCCGAGAAAGAAAACTGCTGGATATTTAGATTTTTAGGTCTGTTTATTTGCCCTGATTCATTATCATGGAAGGACATCATAAAAAATACTCCCATAATTCAGCTCTGTTTACTCATGTAACACCAAATTACAGCAGATGTCTTGTCGAGTCACTTTAAAAAAACGGGTCCAATTCATATTCAGTTGTACAGGATCCAGCTTGGTTCAAAATTAATTACCTTTATTCCAATGCAGCTCTGTAATGTCAAACTTGGATCAAATCAGAAATCATAAAATGTTTTCCCAATTATAAAACATAAAGTAATCTAAGAAAACCCAGCTGTTTGCTTTGAGTTCTTACCTTTGCAGTGATTTGTCACCCTGAGCAAAAAGTGGTGACAGTGGAGAGGAAGCTCCTCCTTTGGACTGTTAGAAACATCCATTTTTCTCTTTTTCCTCATTTCCTATACGCAAATTTTTGGTGTTTTTTATGGAAGTTCCTGCTTTTCTCCTTTTTATTCTTATTTTTACACACACATATATACATAACTAACTCAACGGAGATGGAAAAAGGTCTGTTTATTTTTATTCTAAATGACAAACAATACGACTAATGCCCAACGTTGTGACAATCTGAAGCGGTTTACAGTAGAGCCCTCACTCAAACACCAAACATTAATGCACTGATACTCGGTTAGCCCACGTAGAACGTGATCTAGATTTAGACTTTATGTGGAAGTGAACATTTCCTGTCTGTATAGGGAAATTTTTTTAAAACAAATCATCCAGGAAGTGTTTTTTTTTTCTTCCATCTGGTAATGACCAGCAGTGGTTCAGTGGAAACAACAGACTCTGTTCTGGATTCTGTTTCTTCACATCCTGACAGGACCTGACACCCACATCAGGCTCCGCCCCCTCCGCTTACAGAAAGACCCTGCCTAATTAACTGTTGGCTGCCGATGCTGACCCATTAAGCAGTTAGCTACTATGGGTGGTGAGTAAACACATCTGCTGGAGGGGCTCTAAAAGGATGTGCGACAGATGCAGCCATTCCCTTTTCCACACTCCCCATTTAAATAATTCACCATGCTCTGACAATCCCCGCTCCCCGGACCACCTGCATGGAACGGCGGAGCACAGGAGCCTCCGTCTCCATCCATCTGTCTGCTTCTGCTCCAGCAGCACTACAGGCACGCAGGATGCTCCTTGAACACAGCTCCGCTCGTCCGGAAAAGACTCTCCTTCTCTCCGATCCCGCTTTGCGACCGTGTTTGTGCCACACATGGGGCCCTTGTCTTTCCAAAAATAAAACCTTCTCTTTTCTGGGCAACATATTTCAGATACACACTACAAAAAACAGAAAATATCACCAAGTAGTTTCCAGTGCAAATATTTTGGTACCCTTGAAATAGAACAAAGCAAACTTAAAAGCAACTTTTCATCAAGAAATGGAAGCTTATTTTAAGTCAAAACGTCCTTAATATTGCTGAAAAAATAGTAGATTATTTCACTAATAATGCAGGAAAAAAATCTTGTTATAAGTTAAATAATCTGCCGGAGAAACTAACACTTTTCATCAATATTAAGGAATTATTTACCTAAAACAAGCTCCTATTTCTTACCGAAAACTTAGTTGTAACAAAGCTATTTCCACTAGAAACTTGACTAAAACTACTTGGTAAGAGATTCAGTGTTTTTGCAGTGCAGCAGTCTCTAGAGTTTTAATGCTCAGCTGCAGCTTCCCAGTCTACTTCCAGTCCAACTCCCAGATCCGCCCTGGTTGTCCTGGAATCGCTGTCCCCTTTTGGTCATGGAGCCGTGTGGAGGAGGCATCATCTGTGCTGACATCTGTGGCATCAGACTTGAAACGCAGGCATCTGCTGATTCTTCCTCCTCCTCCTCCTCCCCATTAGGAGGCTCTGCACACGATCCTGGGGCCCCATTCAGAGGCTAAATGGCTGCTTTCCTGCAGCAGCATGTCCTCACCTGTGCTTTCATTTATGTGGCGAAGAAATACCTGAGGTGGCACCTGCTTGACATTGCAGGTGTAGCGTCCAACGTGAACTCTTGTTAATGATTAAACACGCCGCCCCATCTGCTCCTCTGAGGGCAGGAAGATGTTTTCAACAGAAGTGTCTTACTGTTTGTTTGTTGCAGCACAGACATGCTGCTTGTGCAGAGATCTGCTGTTCAATGATGAGTCTGGAACCACACAAAAGCGCAAAAACACAAAATGTTAAGTATTTTTAGTCTACTTTCTTAGACTAAAATCTTAGTACACTTAAAATAAGACAAAACTACTTACAAGTAACTTTTGAATAAGATATAGAAGTTTTTTTAAGTCAATAATTTCTTAATATTGATTAAAAAAATGCAGATTATACCTACAACACTGCAAAACCACAAAATCTTATCAAGTATTTTTGTCTAGTTTCTAGTGCAAATATCGTGGTATATTAAGACTAAACTAACTGAAAAGTAACTTAAAGCAGAGACTTGTTTTAAGGATATAACTCCATAATATTGATGAAAACGTACCAGTCCCACTGGCTGCTTCTTTCTCATCTATATTAATAAATTGTTGACTTAAATCATCTCCTATATCTTGCTGAAAAGTTATTTGGAAGTTAGTTTTGTCTTATTTCAACTGTACAAATATATTTGCACAAGAAACCAGATCAGAAATGTTTGTTTTGTTTTTTTTATACGCATTTATTAAAACCTTCAGTAAGTTGTGACAGATAAAATGTGAAAAAGTTCAGTTCTTCTTTCTCCTGGTGGTCCTAATGCCATCTGCAGAAATGCACAGATCCTGGACCAGTCAGCCAATCAGAGAAAGGAGGCGGGGCTTAGCAGTGTCAGCTTTGACATTACAGGAAACGGTTAGCCATGCTCTCGGGCAGTTTTGATTTAATGACTTATGAAAGTTTATTTGAATGCAACCTGCATTTGACTTGAAATATTTCCTTTTGTGCTTGATATTATATAAATCTCACACTGGTCTATATCAAATGACTTAATATAATTTAGGCTGAGAGCCTTACTGTTTTCAGTCTGTTGAATATTGTATTACTGACAGCAGGTTTCTCAATTGTTCTTTTGACTCAATAGTTGCTGCAATGTGCCTGCATGTTTTCTTTTTGTATGTTTTTGTGTTGAGGTGATTTTTTTGGTTGCTTTCTGCCAGATCACATAGCCAGTAGAAATTATAATTAAATAGAAAAATTAGCAGCCAATCAATGTGATCAGTATTGGTGAATGGCAGAGTAAAAACCTGACCAGATCATCTAACTCCCACTTTTTAAAGAACAACTGGAACAGCAGTTTATAGGCCGAGTTCCTGAAGATGACATTTATTTTCATTTCCATTCTTGAAGCAAGTTTTAAGATTCTGGTTGTATTGATTAAGACCAATAACCGTTTGATCAGTGTTTTGTGGAAATCTACCTCTGCTGAGTAACAACAGCCAGATTTCCCCAGCGTCTGTCACACCAGGATCAGTTTGGATTGAGTTTTTCACTCGACTGCTCGTCACTCTGTCCAAATGGTGGACGTCTGTCTCAGTGAGACGGTTTCTCATCTGGTCCCCAGGCTTCATGGGACGGTTTCCTCCCCGCCATCAAAAACTTCTGCCATGCAGATGCGTCCAGAGTGATGGCTGCTGGATGCCAGATGACAGGCCTTGCATATGCCGCGCCGTGAATTATTCAACTTCCACAGTTTTCACATGTTTAAAAGAAGTTTGAAAGCCATTAGCGTCTCGGTCGTCGGGCCACTGCAGCTGCGTGGCATCATCAAAGCTTAGCGTCACGCCGGACCCACTTTCTGACAGATGATAGCGAGCCCTGGGACAAACTTTTCTCCACCGGGGTCCAGATATCTACAGCGAAGAGCACAAGTGTCTCTTTGTATCGAAATGTTGACTGATCTGTGTCCCGTAACAAGGATCTGCCATTTATTCAGACATTATGATCGGCCCACCAAGCAGCTGCAGCTCCCTCCTCTGTGTCACTCACTGGCTTTCACTGCAGGAAAGTTAAATGACAGCCAGCTCTTTTTTTTTCTTTTTCAATTATTCATCCTGCTTTTCATTTAAGACCCACTAAGCTAAATGTGGTACATTTTTTGTGAGGTTTTGTTGTTGTGTGAAGGTTCACTGATATTCTATAAATCAGAATATCAGCGAAATGTTTTAGGAATTCAGTTGAAATAATGCTGTTTGTTTAGAAATTAAATGAATTACACAGAGATTGATGTTTTTCAAGTGTTTGGTGTTATTGTAATTTTCATGATAATAGATTACATCAAGAAGCAGACTATTGCTCAGGGCTTTCTGGGTAAAACCAAAACAAACACGTCGGTCTGCTGCTAGCGGGAGAAATGGCTCGTGGTCTTTTACCAAAGACAACAAAGAAATTATGTGACCATTAAAATCTGACGCCACTCCTTTTTTGGTTACATTTTGTGAAGAAGGAAGTTGTGCTCATGGGATTTTGTGTCATTTCCTTCAGTGGTTCTTGGTGCAGCGCCCCCACAGGTGAGGAGGGGAACAGGTTGCTTATAGGGCTTTCTACACAGAGTAGCGTGAAATGTAAGAAATTTAACCAAGTCTACTGGACTATCGGGTGTGAAAAGACTCTTTAATTTTCCTCCTTAGATTCTCTATGGGGTTCAGGTCTGGCCAGTACCACCATGATCACTGATCCAGGTTCTGGTTCAGTTCAGATCATGTACCAAGTCCTAATGGCAGAAGAAAGCATGAAGTCCTCTTATTTTTTCTGATGGACCTTGTTGACTTTGGACTCGATAAAACTCAGCAGACCAAGACCCAGAGATGACATGATGGCTTAAATCATGAGTGGAAAGTTCATGCTGGACCCTGACCAGACATGGATTTTAAGTCTTTCCACTTGTCTTCTGGACCTTGATTCCATAAATAAAAATGCTAAATTAAATTTTTATCTGGAATGATCATTACCTTTCCAGCCTTTTTCTCCGGTGAGGTGAGATATTTTGGTCGTCTTTCCAATCCTCTCAAAACTGTGCTCATCCTTGTTGCTTCACTTCTTGAACTCTGTGACCAGTCGGCTTCTTTAGTTCAGACTTTATGTAATTCAGGATCCTTGTAGAGGCTTCCAGTGTCTGTGTGCAGGACATCTGTCAACCACCAGGCTTCGCTTCAATATTTCTGCATTTCCAATCCTCCTTCATTGGTCTGATGTAATTTTCAGATTTTTCTTCACTGACTGTTCATCATCATCAGCAGTTAACACCTGAAATATGTCCTTCCTAAATATTACTTTTTATTACTTTTTCAATCGATTCACAGTAATGAATTATATTTTTGAGGATGTTCCCCACTAGTGTGAGCTGCAGGTGTAAATGTGAGGAATTGCAAATTGAAATGTGTTTCACCAGATGGAAGTGCTGCTGCATGTTTTTCTGATGTAAAATGTGTGTGAAAAACGGGATTGTAATTTATATTCATCAGATTTAATGCTATAACTAAGGTAAAAATGATTGCATGGCTTGTGCCTGGGTTCTGGCTGCTGTGCAGGAAGTGAGCTCTCAGTGTGTGTGTGTGTGTGCAGAGGAGGTCCTGCTCTCTATGGTTGAGTTGTGGTGCGTTCAGGGTGTCCGGCGTTGTCAGGATGAAGGGGGGTGGGCTCGTCTGTGTAACTCGCTTGGGAGCTTTCCTCCTTCACACTGCAGGTTCTGCACCTCCAGCTTGATTAACAACCTGCCCACCGTTATTCTGGACTGAGAGTGTCAGTTAATTTAGCCTCGCCCCCACGCCCTCCTCCCTCTCACCTCTCGCCTCACGTTCAGCACTTAGTTAACATGCAAAGATCCCCTTCCTACCCCATTTTGAGCATGATATGTTAACTGAAACAAAAAAATCTGTATTTTCTCTTCTTTCTTATGCACTTCTTGTTACTGTGCACTATTTTATTTTATATTTGTATCATGTTCGAATAAAATTTCATTTCATTTCATTTCAAACGCCTCGTCAAAGCAGCAGCGACTTTCTGTACGTTTATTATAAAGACGCACTCAACCTGTTTTAAAATGATTTGTCTCATTTTAAAGTAAATGAAGTTTGTCTTTTTGTGCTTTCCAGGCCTGGATAAAGATGGAAATAAATAATAATAATAAAAAAAACAACATTCCTGGATCTTTTCAATGTGAAATTATCCAAATATTTTACAAAATAAATGAATTTATGAGTATTCTGTATATAACCTAAGAAACCTTCTGAAATGGAGCTCTGACTGCCACTTCTTACTCTTATTTTCTACATCCATTTTGTTCCTATTGACAAGTCATTTTGCAGCCCATATTTATTTGTAATTAAGTATTTGTGATGAATTATGGAAAACAACGAACCATAATATTGTACACATGAAAATTCTGGACCAATATTGATGTCAGATATTAGTATTGGTGTTGTATACAATATTTTATAGATATTTTTCTACCCCTTCAGGGTTCAGGTGTAGTTTTTGAGTCCTTATAACTATAAGCTGCTTTGTGTTGTCAGACAGATGTTTTATTTAATCGATGTCTTGAATCTACATTTTCTTCAGGTAAAATATAAATAAAATATATTTACTTTGAACAGGCAAATTGGACATTTTTGTTCTTGTGATGAAGAAAGATGAAGAAAAATCCTGCAAATTTGAACTTTGCAGACCCAACTATATATTTAAGCAGCTGGATTTCCTTCCACAGCCCTGAGGGCCTGCATGTAATATAGGATTTACTGACATGGTGAAGCACACGGAGAGCAGTGGAAACACTGAAACCATGGAAAATGTGAAGAGCGAGGAAAAGACGTGTTATTCACAATGAATATCATGATTTCCTGGGCCAAACTTTAGAAAAGTCTTACATGGCCAGTAGCCCACATAGATTAGATTTTATAAATCCATGTTTTTCAAACTTTGTGACCAACATAAAACCCACCACATCAGGTGGGGTGTTTTAATACTGCTGGATTTTCTGAATTTAAATGATAGAAACAATTAAATCAGTACAGTTTAAAAAATTACAAAGTTACAGAACATCTTTTAGGGAATAACATGGAGGCAAGATGTTTTAGACCAGCCATGCATTAAATCATATCCACTAATATGTAGGACTGCATCGTCTTTAATTTTGTTGTCTTCCTTTTTGGAGAGAGGAGAGATGCAGAACAAAAGGTTTTATAGAGAATGGCAATTCCTAGTTTTAGCATTTCTGAATCAATTAAAATGCTCAAAAATCAAATTTAATCTGCTTAATTTTTTGCAAAATCATATTTTGAATAATTCTTTGATATTTTTTCATTTAAGAAAAGCCAGGCACCGAAGCTACCATAAAACTGATTACTTAAGTTACAGAATTGTATTTACAAACCTGCTTTTGTTTACATTTGAACCTTATAGAAATGGTTTAAATGTTTACACGTTTTCCTTTTGTCAGATGTAATCACTAGACTCTGAAAGCTTTGCATCTCTAGGATAAGGCACCAAACCGTCTTTTTTCACATCCTTCTAGATCCGGCCCTGTTGACTGCAGTAGCAATATCACAGTTGCATGCAGTTGCACTTCCTTTTTAAGGTCTGTTAGTGTAAGAAATAATGAAAACCTAAATGTTTGAGATGTAATAAAAAGACAAAAATATGTGAATTCTTAATCTGATATGTAGGTGAAAAGTGTAGGGAAGAATCAACAAGTTGGATGACTTGTCAAAGTGCATCCTGTGGCAAAGTTCTTTGACCTGCATCTTAAATATTTAGTGTTGCAAACAAGGTAAGGTGCAAAGAAGTCACTTCAGAATATTTAGAGTACTCTGCATAGTAATGGACACGCGGTCTGGTTGCTCATCTGTTCTGAACCACAGGAGAATTGGTGGCCCAAGGCACTGCCTCAGGCTGAATCCACAGCAAACACAGCACTCTGGTTATTATTCCACAGCAGCGCTTTTTTAATGCAGGCCTCCCCTGTACAGCGCCGCGCTCACAGCTGGCCCCTCACACACAGTCACCACTCTGCTGTCTCTCCTCTCTCCTGTTTTATGTCTTGGGGTGGGAGGCGGGGGGAGTATTTCAAGCGTTTGACTCGCTCCACATACCCAGTTCTCATTAAACCCACCGTAATTGGATCGGGCGTAACAGACATATGGAAATTGCGGTGCCGTTCATCATTAGGGTTTTAATTGCGCCCATTTCGGCCTCTGCGTTTCTGCCTCTAAATAAGTCATAGGTGTTCGCAGGCCTTGTTACTGCAAGTCAAGTTGGTTCATCCAAACACGCTGACGGCTGGGATGATGAGAAGATCTCCTCCATTCCCGTCTCTTCATTTGGTTTTGCTGCTGTTCTTTTCTTTGTCTGGGTTTTTAAAAAATGTGTACTGTTAAATTTAACAACACTTTTGTTGTGATGACAATATATGAACTGTAACTGTGGCAAGATGGCTGATACTGTTTCACAACACTGAACATTATTAAGATGTATGGCACGTTTTGCATACTTTGTATGTCTGCCTTACATTGTTGGTGTTTTAAAGAAAAACAAATAATTAGAAAACAAAGATTTGTGTGACAGAAGCACAGAAAATCTATCTATTTAACCGAGATTAAATCCATTTATATCTATTTGAATTTGTTTGACAGATGAACTATCTTTTGCTTTTGTTCTGCAGAACTATGGATGTTCTCATCAGCCTGAACAACGGCAAATCGTTCATCTCTAGTGCCTACACCATCACTGCATCTACATGTGTGAGTCTGAATCACTCGCCTCCTTTTAGTCCAGCCAGTTTGAACAATGTGTATTTCCTCTAACAAATATTATAAGTATTGATTTTATCTTCAATAAATGCTCGACATTTAACTGGTATTGATTACTAGGAATATTCTATATGTTTTTTTTTATAACAAAATAGAAATAAAGCAATATTATCTTTTTTAAACATTTATTCATGGCTGAAATTATTAATAAAGTTAATCATAATTAATCGAATACTGAAATAAAATGGCAATTTGTTAAAAAAAAACATATTCAGAACAGTAATTAAGATGTACAAAACATAAATACATTTTGTTTTTAAGATGCAATATATAAATATGTTTTATCCAAAACTCATCAGTGGATGTAGTTTTAGATTCTCTGAAGGAATGCTGTGCTTCAGTGCTGCGTCTTGATAAGTAATGTTGTGGTTTTGTCTTGCAGTCGAGCGGTTTTGTGCTGCTCATCGTGATCCTGGTGATGCTGGCGCTCCTGGCTCTGGCCTTCCTGTGGTGGTTCTGGCCTCTCTGCTGCACTGTGGTGAATCTTCCTCGTCTCTTTGGTTAACCTCTGTGGCTCCTTCATGCACCCAGAATGACAGCAGCTTCTGCTGAATTAAACCAACTAAGAATAGTTCACGTCTGTATTACCTTAAAAGTAAATCGTTGCCATAGTTACTCTAACATTTACAACGACAAAGTGAGAACACTAGTGTGTGCTCTTTGACGTCTGCAAACTTCCTGTTTGTACAGTTGCACCCTATTGTAAGAATGCACATATTTACTTAAATCACGACTTTTATACAACAAATAAACAAATGAAGAAACCAAAATCATCCAGGCAGAGATAGTAGATTGGCCTGTTTGGCTCTGAGGATCCTCACTTTCCTTATCTGCCATATTCTGAAGCAAAATATTGCTAAATATTTGCTCACCCTTTTACCACGTGCACCACAGTACATGAGATTTCCTCCCAGCAGACCTCAGTGGGGAAGTGAAGAAACCACATCCTGTAGATCAGTTGATGGTTTCTGCTTAGGCATCAGGTCCTGACAGAAAAACACACAGAAAAATACACCAAGGCCTGGATTAGCAAAAAAAGATCTGAGTGACAGTTGCTGAAAATTCTGTTTATACAACTCCAACACTGGGCCTTCCCAGGGACAGACGTGATTAATAATAATACCCGAGATTTTTTATGGTTTAATCCCATTAAATCTGTTCCTGCTCTAGTTTAAACTCTGCTTCCTGATCTTGTCAATCAGCTCGTTGAGTTTCAGCTGCTTTCTCATTTCCTGCCTTCTGCTCTTTGTTCTTTTGTTGTTATTGTTTAATGTGGCTCTTAAAATGATCTTTAAACATTTTTCTATACAATCATTTTGTTACCAAAGTAACGCATAAAGAGGGAAGGTACGTTTATTTCTGATGTTCCACTCTACTGACGAACATCATGTAAATGTAACTGTTCAGTCTTTTGAATCTGACTTTACAGTTTTCTAAACATTTCACATCTGAGACGTTCCTGCAAGACCAGAAAATAATGAGATTTTATTTATATTCACTGATTTAAGCCAACCCAGGATTAATTTTCTGAAAGAAAGCCTGTAGGATGTAAATTTATAGAAATCCTGATGTGTGATTTGTTGTAGAAATGATCAACATTATTATTCTAATTAAATTGGCCAAGAGAAGAAATATAAATGGAAAATTTCAGAAGGCCAAGAACACGTCCCTGAGGTATACCACAATAAAACTAAGCAAAGAAAGAGATTAAACCGTCAAAAAAAGAGGTTTTGTTTAAAACACAAAACCCTTCATATGTACGTGAGGTGAGAATTAGAGGTGCATCAACCTTCGCCCCCGATTTTCTTAAGTTTGGTTGATTGGCTTCACCTCAGGCCAATATTATCTACGGTGCTTTTCACTGAAGGAAAATTGGAAGATTGGAGTAAAATTGGAGTATTCTGACCTTATGACCAATGAAAAATTGGTATCAGACAAAATCGGAATCGGCAGATCAGGCCAGAAAACGGCAACCATCCAGCAGCGGAAGAGGTCTGCTAGATTGACAGTAGCAATATATTATTACTAAGAGCATCATGTGCATTAAGTCCTTTATAACCAGTGTGAGAGCTGCTGAAAACACAGTTATTGTTCATATGTGGGAACTTTCCAATTTTGTCTTTTTATTTTCTTAGGCATGCAGAAGTAAAGGGTAAATCAACCTGGATGTAACTGTGAATGTAACTCTGTGCGTTAAAGAGAAATTCATGACTTTCTCTAAATGAAGCTTAAAAACGTCCTGCAGTAAACCTACAGGACGCCAGATGTTTCGGCCCCACAGGCACATATTGTTGGTTTAGTCCTGAGTATTCATTAAAAACTACAGCTCTAAAAATCCCTCACCCTGCCTATACCCCCTTTATAAAACAATTCTCACCCACTTAACCAATTACAGAAATCCACAACAGATTATCGTTTGGGGCGATGAGAGAGGGGCTACAGATGGCGTGCACCGCCTCTTTCTCTCAGCCTTTTTTCTACCGAGATCTGATGAAGGCAAATTTTCCCCCACCTGCCCCCCATCACTCACCTCACTCACCCCTGAAATGATAGACGTCACCTGGCTTTGTGGACCTGAAGGGATCCCATCCAGGATGAGATGGAAGCATATTTTGGAAAACCAACAAAGGCATTAAAATGTAAACCCCCTGCAGCATGTCTGGCCGCGGACGTGTTTGTCTTGGTGGAGGGAGCTGCTGTTGCCTTGCATCCAGGGACCCGGCAGAAGAGGAGGGCCATGTGTGGCTTGTTAATATTTAAACCCCCAGTCTGCCAGGCTTCGGCAGTCGAGATGAGGCGACGAGGCCACGCGCGCGCACACAAACTTCCCTCCCACAATCCCTCTCTTCCTCTGCCTCTACCCGCATGGCCCGGTGCCAGACGAGAGGTCAGACAAGCTGTGGAGTGGTAGTGTCTTTGTTTATCGTTTGTTTGGAAATTAAGCCCTGCATGGCGTTGCCTTTTGTTTAAATCAAAGGGCTGGAGATGGAGTTTTCAAAGGCAAGGGAATTTATCTGAATTACAAATGAATCACTGCAAAATTGGACACACTTTTGGAAACATTTGCAACTCATTTGGTGCCCAACATGTTGGTAACTTCTAATTACTTCATTTTATTAGGGCTGTCGGTTATAACTCGTTGCTCTGCAATAACACAACATCTGACCAAGAATTTCTGTTTTGTTTTGTAGTGCAAATATCTTAGTAGACTTGAAATGAGACAAAAAGAATTTACAAGTAACATTTCAGCAAGAAAAATGAAGTTAAGTGAATGATATTGATGGAAAAATACAAATTTACTGGCAGATGATTTCACTTATAGCTATTTACTTTTCAACAATAAGGAATTATTTCCTTAAAACAAGCTCCTATGTCTTGCTGAAAACTTACTTGAAAGTTGGCTTTGTCTTATTTCAAGTGTACTAACATATTTGAATTAAATCAAACAGACTTGGTAAGATTTTGTGTTTTTGCACAAGAAACGATTAGTCTAAATTGTTTAACGTGTTAACATTACTCATTACCCGTTTTCAGGTAAAAGCTTCCCTCCTGTGGAGGGTTAATTGGGTCATGCATGTGTGTTGCACTGTCTTATTCTGCGGTCAACAGTGCAAAGTGGCAAATGTGAGTCAATAATGAGTGACGAAAGTCGAATTAGCTTCAAATTTTGCTTTGACCCCTTAAGTTTCACCCTCCAAATGCTTACATGTTAGTCAGCGGCTCCATGAACACACCGGTGTCCTCATGACTGCCAAAGCTTTTTAAAAAAAGGAAACATTTCTAAATTAACATTTGAAACTTAAATGACTCCTTGAAAACTGTCCTGAATATGAAAACCTGGAAAAAAGAAGCTTTCTATGCATATTTATAGGAAAGTTGCGTGCATGCTTTTGAGAACATTTCAGCAATAAGCTGTTACTCATGTCACCACTGCAGTGCAGAACTTTATTTCCTTTACTGCAGAAAGCCATGTTAGCCTAAATCGCTTTTAAACTTTCAAATATGCTACCTGCCACTGATCCGTCACAACAAACCTCCTGAAACAGCTTGACACGACACCGTTTGAGCTCGGGTTTTGGGAGCGAGCAGATTTCCAATCCCAGTCGGGCGTTCGCAGAGACAGCCATATGTGGACGGTGCCCCGAGTGCTTCTGATTGGTCCGATTCCCCGGGGCGTGCAGGCTGCGGTGGCGAGCCGCTGGGGCCGGTGTCAGATGGCGAAGCATCCCGCGGTTTAGTTTTTAATTACGCCACCGCGCTGCAGAGAGCTCACATCTGTCCGTCAGGTTGCTGGGAAAAAGGGAGCAGCCGAGCTCCGGCGTTTGTGTAATGCTTTATTTAGCCCACAACATGTGCGGGAAATCTGCTGCATAATTACTTAATAAAAAGAGATAATCCCGTCAACGTAAGGTGTGGCTGGAATGCTGTTAATCAGCGTATGGAGAGGTCATCCACAGACCTCCGCAGGATTTGTGCGCAGCCAGTTGTGTGTCAAAGAGAAATTAATTAACCCTAATTGATTGTTTTTCATTATTCTAATGACAACACTGCAGCGAGTCCGACGGTATCCCTGAGCTTAACCGGGAAGGAAACAGCTGTTCGGATCTATGATAGGCCATAATTACATTGCTCCTTTTTTCCCCTCCAAAACCACTTTAGCAAATGCAAAAGCAGCTCTGACTTTAGTATCTGTCTGTGATGACTAATGAGCCAGACGGTGCTCTCTCCTCACCTCAAGCCGAGATATTCTCTCAGTATTTATTGTGTTTGGTGCTAAAGTCCACAGGAAGGGAGGAACGAAAGGAGAATTTCATCTCAGGAGTGTCTGGGTGGAAAACTGGACCAGAAACAACCTTCACTTACTAGTCTACCTGCAAATGAGCTTTTAGCAAATACTTCATTTTATTGACAGCAATCCCAGCAGGCTACGCCGAGCTTTGTTTGCTCTAAAAAGGTCATGTTTTATAACTTCTAATTAGAGCTGTGCATGTGTAAAGTTGAAGCTCCTTCTCAGTGTTGTGGGTTTTCTTTTGTCTGTCAGACCGTGAGCTTTAACTCTTGAAATCTTAAGCCACCAAATAATAAGCGTCTGTGTGTCTTTTCACAGCTGTGTCACCGCTGACTGAGCGTCGTCTCAGCTGGACGCCTGAGTGACGCCTGACAAATGTCACCGTCAGGCTCCTCTTGGCTTTCCGATGCACATCTGAAAAACCCAGTCCAGGCATCTTGTCCCTGAGTGGTATCACATTGTGGACAACCTGCTTCTCAGGTGTCTTTCCACGTTGTCACGGAGACCGCCTCCGGGCTGGTCACTCCGCTGTCAGTAAGCGATGTCATGGAGATCTGTGTGAATGTGTTTTAGTTTTTTTCTTCTTTTTTTTCTGCCGCCACTCATCTTCCCAGCAGACAGGACTTGGAGCGCAGCCCAAGCCGCCTCCTCTGTATCTGACTGGAGCTAATTAACTCCTTAGGATTTTATGATTGGGGGGATCGCTTCGGAGCGCTGAACCCCATCCAATTAATTAGGAGCTAAACGGGCTACAGCGATCGCCCCAAAGACTCCCCTGTCAACAAGTTGGTTTTCAGCATTTCTTTATTTTACACGTGGGGCCACTGATGTTGGTTTACAAGCAGGATCCTTGTAATCAGTAGTCAGCGAGGCGATGGGGCGGCAACTGCCACTCGTGAGGCTGGCAGCAGCGGTGTCGCCGTCATGAGACGAGCTGAGTGACGCTGTGTCACCTGTCACGAATCGGCCCCGTCAGCCTGTCTGGGTCCTGATAAGGTCTGAGTCCTCCTGCCGACCAGCTTTGTTTTCTTTTTCTGTTTATTCAGGTCATCAAAGACCCGCCGCCGCCGCCTCCACCTTCTCGTCCGCCTCCACCTGTGAGTATGTCACAAGGGGTCGACAACACAACCGTCCGCAATACAGATTAGACCCCATATTTCTGCACATATTAATAATTCATTTTAAATTGAGAATTGGCCATATTTATTTTCAAAATTCAGATACATTTATACATCATTATTATTATCAATAGTAATGGTTTATAAGGATCACCAGAATGAAAAGAATATTGATTAAAAACCATCTTGTCTTGTGTTACAGTGTTAAATAATTCAAGATAAACTGAAAATAATAATATGAATATGAACAAACATAAATAAATAAAAATTATATGAACAGAATATTTAAAGCCATTTTGATACAAGCATTATAAATAATTAAAATATAATGAATGAACAAAATTAAATATGTATAATCTATTAACTATTTTAGTTAGGAAATGGCTATTAGAAAATATTTCCTTATTTACATTATCGATTTAAATACCTGGAACTGTGACGATTGATTATAAGAATTGAAATAATCCTCCAAATATCAGCCTAAGAGAACCTCAGTAAAGTTTCCATAAAACCCGTTGGATGCTCTCTCAGACCTGCTGGTTGTTCAGGAGTCACAGCAGGAAGAAGCCTTTTCTGTCCCACCATCACAAATGTAAACATGAAAGCTTAATAAACTACTGAGACTTTAACTGCAGACATCTGCTTTGGTCAGATGCAAATGAAAAGTGGATAAATGCTTTAAAACGAGGGATGGAAATATTGACGGTTATAGTTAGGCATGGTGGAGGACCTGTGATGCTGTGGGCCTGACTCTCTAGCACAAATCCTGGGAAGTAAATGACATCATAAACTCAAAGTAAAAATCTGGTTGCTTCTAAAAAAAATTGAAAATGGATCCCTGTTGGGTCTTTCTGCAGGTTAATATAAAAATATACCAGTTAATTTCTCTGAACTTTTCAAAGTGAAAATATGCTACAGCCATAAAAGATTAAGTTGTTTTGAAGCTTACAGTCCTTGAAACGTGCTGACCAAACGCACCGTGGAGGCAAACAGAGCGTTTCTTCCTTCCTGGTGAAAATGAAACAATATAATTAATCTGCAGCTTCCGTCTTACTGTCGTCCAGCTGCAGCTGCTTTATTAATGTTATCATTTATAGAATCGTGTGACCTTCCGGCTGTTTTTCCAGGAACCCGAGCCGCTGCCAAAGAAGAAGTGGCCAACGGTGGACGCCTCGTACTACGGAGGAAGAGGAGCAGGAGGCATCAAACGCATGGAGGTCAGACCCTGAAACTGGGCTTTGTTTTGCTTCAAAGTAGAGCAGCTAAGGAAATCAAATCGAACAAAGATCCTCTGCATGCGGCGGTGACACACATCTGACGGGTGTAGTCCTGCTGACGTTGATGTTGGAAGTTGGTGTAGTTGCGGGCGGCGGACCCGGCTGCTGTCCTCGTCACTCTGCTGATGCGTCCGACATGACAGGTCCCGCTATAGCGTCCTGATTGGATCAAGTCGCTGCTCAGTTGGAAGATTGAGTGCTGCTGTCAGCTCGACTCGACCACCTCGCTGAGTTTCTACCCACACTTCCCCCGTCATGGACTCCCGTTAATATCCAAATCCTTCAGGAAGAATCAAAGTTTATGCATCCTATGGATACATTTTGGAAAATCTAAACTCAGGATAAGGCAACATTAATCTTTTGATACATTTTAGAGTCCCATATTTCAATCATTCAAGTTTATTTGTGAAGCGCATTTCAGTGGAATGGCCTTTCAAAGTTGTTTACATCATGAATATATCATAACCATCATATAGTCAACAGCTGTAAAAACCAATAACAGACATTACATTGTGTGTGTAATGTTGTTAAAATCAACAATTCACATTAAATGTGTTTGTCAGTGTTTCTTTCATTATGAATTAAAAGCAACTCTAAACAGCTGGGGTTTAATCCAGGTTTAAGAGAACTCAGTGTTCCAGCTGTTTTTCAGTTTTCTGGAAGTTTGTTCCAGATTTGTGGTGCATAGAAGCTGAATGCTGCTTCTCCATGTTTGGTTCTGGTTCTGGGGATGCAGAGCAGAACCAGAAGACCTGAGATGACCCGATATGATGGCCATCTTGAATTTCAAGTTTCCCACATAGGTTTTTGAAAGAATAATGTCTAAGAAGAATTTATGCCACATCTGGCATCTATCACCATATCTATCTATATCTATCACTTCTATCGCCATTTGACGGATTCCTTTGAAGTGTTAGGTGTCAGGATGATTGCAACATTCCAGTTTCTTGAGCGTTTCTTTTATTCACTGCAGCGCTCGGTTTTTTTCCTGGGCCTGGGACGTATCCCTGAGATGATTCTCAGAAGCTGTTCTATATTGTCACGGCTTAACCTACAGCTTAGACAACGTGTCGCTAATTAATCACCTCTCCCCATTCATGTGGCGGTGGATTTTTTTTTTTTTTGTCTCCTCCTTGCAACAGATGTGATGATTTCAATTAAAACGCAGGACAGCTTGACTAACACACATACTCATGTTCACAAGCTCAAATGCAAACACACACATACGCACGTATACACACACACACACCTGACGACACATAGTGTCAACTGAATTGAGTTCTTGCTGCTTGGTTGGTATTGAGGAGAGGAAGTTGCCACCAGGTGCTGCTAATCAGATGCATTGATTAACTGCTGATTTTTTTTTTTATTAAAACTGATGCTGATCTGGACTAAGTGGGTATGAGTTAGCACAATATCGATCAATCTGGGAAGAGTTTGTAGGGCATTTTCCAGATAAATGCAAAATCATCCTTCTACAAAGTGAAGTTTATCCACAAGTCCAAACAAATTCACTTCTGCAAAATTCAAGTTTCAGACCCTCCAGACTTCAGTCAGTCTGTTATATCTTAGAGTTCATGACAGGATTATTAAAAGAAAGATTAAAAAGCAATGACTTCATTTGGGAGGGTTAAAGGAGGAATAAGGGCAGTATTATGTTTTAGTTTTTTTTCCTGGACCTGCCTCGTCTCATATGTAGCTGTTCTAGCGCTCTTTTATCTTCTGTTTTTCTCTTTTTATCCTGCTCAGGTGAAATGGGGAGAAAAGGGATCAACTGAGGAGGGGGCCCGACTGGAGAAGGCCAAAAATGCTAAAGTCTCCGTACCAGAGGACGTGGAGGAGCCGATGATCAAACGTCCACGTCCTAAACCGGCGTCCAACAACAGGCAGGCGGAAAACAAATGGTACACTCCTATCAAGGTATGTTCCCCATAGACATCACATGTTATGGCTCCTCATGATGCTTACTGAAAAAAGAAAAAAATGAAACTCAAAAACAGGAGAAAGCAAAAAAATTTCAAACATTTTTAAACTGATAAGAAATAAACATTTCTTCAAATTTCTCAGTTCTGCTTTTTTCCCTCATGTCATATCTGTGTGCCATCAGGGTCGCCTGGATGCATTGTGGGCTTTGCTGCGGCGGCAGTATGACCGGGTCTCCCTCATGCGTCCCACCTCAGCAGACCAGGTAGGACTGGGGAGAAAACATGACTTTTCATAAATATTTCTGATGGAAATCTGCAGGCCTGCTGCAATACATTAAATACTGTGGTGGCAACCAGACAAACCAGCAAAGTAACACACAGCAGAAGAGATGATTCAGTCAATAAAGAATATTATATTTTTGGAGAAAAATTGCAACCTTAAGCATCATTAGCAGTTTGGTCTTTTTTTATTTAGTTTTGTTTATTAGTGGTTTGAATGGATGAATCTGTCTTAGTCGTCTGTTTAAGCCCATTTACAGTTAGACATGTTAGTTTATTGCTGCATTGTGTTGCTGTGAGTGGATACAACCTCTTGGTAGAGGAAACTTCTGTTTCTTGTTGTGCATCGTGTTGTTTATACTTCACCACGGCGACGTGACCTGCAGCTGCAGCTGCAAAGCTTCACAGAAGGAAGGAGGACAGAGACGACCTAATATGGTCAAACCGTACGCTTCACTCGCCCTCCGACAGAGGAGAGAAAACGATCTGAAACGCAGACGGTTACCAGAACGCCACCGAGTCAGAGCTAACCAGATGTTTTGATATGTATTAGACTCTAATACAGCTCATAATCCAACAAACCACACCATCTGCTGTGGATGTAAATCTGCAGACATAATCCCAAAATTAAATGCTATGGACAGAAAATCAAATGCTGTGGCTTCGAATCGGAAATATAAAAAACACTGCCAATTTCCCCTTTTTTGAGTTTCTGCAGCGTTCTGTTCGTTCTGTGATCTAAAGCAGAAACACTTTTTAGACACATCTGCATGTCTGTGGTGGGTGGTTCTGCTCAGGTCAGAGGTCAGAGAACAGGACCCATGTGGGTGTGGTTCAGACAATGATGTAACTCTCTGCAGAGGCATCAGGTCGAGGGCTGAAGAAAAGGGAAAAGTTGAGGAAATCTAGCAGCTGTCAGCCTGCCAGTCGTTACTCAGGGCGTCATGTTGCTGTTCACAAATCAGATCGAAAACCAGCAAAACTTCTGCTTTTACATGATAAATCAAACTGAGACTCAGGGGGTTTTGGTGTGTTGATTGTTAAAGTTTATGACAGAACAAATGAAAAACTTGGCAGCAATGTTAGAAGAGTATTTTTCCTCCCAAAAAACAAAGTAGCATAGCTTAGGTTTGCAAAGATGCACAGAGATCAGTCACAAAAATATGATTAAGGCATTTTCATTTGGACATTCATGCACTTTTTAATTTTACCTTTAAAAGATAAATTAGCTTTAAAACAGACTTTTTATGCACAAGATTCTGCACTGTGGATACAAATAATGAGGTAAGAACAGAAGGCATTTATCTGTGCTTCTCTGCTGTTGAAACCTCTAAAACATAGCAAGAGCTGACTTTTTCTGCTTCCAGAGCTGTTTGTTTGGTGATGAAAAATGTTGTAGCCTCGTCGTTTCAGTTGTGATGCATCCATATGAAGTGACCTCCAGGTCAGGAAGCCCACAGGTTGTTTCACATCACGTTTGGCTGAGAGGGGAGAAGCTGCCAGTCGAGTCCCATTTTTATTCTGATTACTGAGACAAACTCCACTTTCAGTTCTGTGATCAAGACTGTAAACGAGACGGTCAGACAGATCGGGTCGCAGGACGCTTTGTGTTTGAGGTGAGGCTGAGCAACAGCCGGCTGTTTTCATCCACCACACAGGTTTTATTTACTTTATTTGTGAATTCTCCAATGGCAGGGTTCAGTTAGTTAACATGTGAAAATGAGAAAAATACAACCTCCTCTCCACTGGCCATCTGATCTGGAGCCACTCAGATGATGAAGTACATAAACGCAGAACATTTTCATTCACTAAAACAAACTAGTTGTCAAAATGCAAGTAAAATGCAGTTTTATCTGCTTGGATTGGCTCCCTTCTCTTCCTCTCTGTTCTCCTTCCTGCCACTAAGGCCAGTGTTGAATTGAGTTTGAACAGCAGTCGTATTGTTCCTGGTCTCCTCCCTCCTGGTTCTGGTCAGAGTAAACACAGCTGAGGAAGAAGTCCGCTCCGTCCTGCTGCAGGTTCAGTGTGGATGGCAGAGCGCAGCAGTGCTGCAGAGACGGGGAGAGAGGCAGGATGTTTGATGGCGGACAGGAAACCTCCAGGGTCATGAATTTTTCAGCAGCGTCCGTCCGCCGGGTTACAAGGACTCGTACAGGTGTAAGTAAGCAGGTTGTCGCAGACATCTGTTCAGCGCGGGGACCCGGCCCCCCCCACTCCTCACCAGCCTCCGTCCGTTTGTCGCTGCCGCCGCCCGGAGTCAGACCACTGGACTGTCAGCAGATGCAGAGGAGAGACAGAAAAAGAGAATTTTTTTAGCTTTTTTTTTATTTATTTAAATATTTTTTTTCCATGGTCTCACATTTAGAGCCCGAGGGCTTCCGACACCAAAGGTAGAGCGGGGGTGGACACAGCTGCAGAGCCGAACTTGCCCCAGGCACAAATAAAGAGATCTAATGCGGTTTGACTGTGTTGTGGGTGAGAGCAGGGAGCCGGGGAGGCACTTCAGAGCCAGCTTAGCGCAGCAACATCTGCCGCCGAGTTTTTCCCGGGATCGGCTGGGGACAGCAGGTAGAGGAAGGTGGCGGGAAGGAGGCCGGCCTCGTTTTCCCCTTTCTCTCTCAGGGTGTTTTCACGCCTGATAATCTCGAAGACTCACTTCCACTGGGGACCAAAGTTGCAACATTTGTTACGTTTTCATCTGCTGCGGTCTCCTCTCACACAGCACTGCATCAAATGAACCAAAAACCAATAAGTGTTCACCCAACCGGACCGGCGCAGTGCAGGGCCGGCCCAAGGCACATGCAGGTTCAGCCCCTGCATCTCATATGGGCTGACTGTGGCTCTGTGGGTAGAGCAGTCGTCTGGTGATCGGAAGGCTGTAGGTTCGATTTCGTCTTCCTCCTGTCACATGTCGATGTGCCCCTGGGCGCTCAACCCCAAGTTACCTGCTGATCCGTGTATCACTGTATAAATGTGGGTTATACAGCATTTATGCTGTATGTGGATGAATATAACTCTAGTGTAAAGCACTCTGAGTGGCCAAAATGATTGGAAAAAGCGCTTTATAAGTTCAGTCCATTTGCTATTATAAAATAACACTGAATAATGCAAACTGAATACACTTAGTTGTTAAATAAGTTAATATCTTCCTGCCGGAAATATAAGATATCAAACTTGTTAACTTGTTTAGTGTAAATTTAATATTTATCAGATGATATTATTTTCTCAATAATTAAATTGATGTGGCACACTTAAAAAACACTCTTCAACTTCCTTCTTCAAGAAATGCAAACAAAAATGGATTAGCGTCAGATCTCAGTGGTTGTAGGATTTCTCTTTTGTTTTTGGAAAAACACTATGAGCCATTTCTCCCGCTAGCGCCAGACTCTTGTTTGTTTTGATTGTATTTACCCAGAATGCTCTGCGCTGTAGTCCACTTCCTGCTTCTGGAGCGATCTCCGATCTGCTTGGCGTTCACATATGAATTCGAGTTCACTTCCACCGAACCGAAGCCAAGGTCTGTAGGCAGACCAGAACTCACTTCACTGGTTTGATTGCACGTTCACACATCATCAAATGGACCAGACTTTCTAGACAAACGAACCAGAGTTGTATTGAGCCGGACCAAACGGGTCTGGTGTGAACGCTGCCTCAGGCTCCGTTTGAAGAGGCGTCGCTTTGAATGCATGCAGCGTTTTCTCCTTGCCTCCCACCTTCACATGCTAGGTTTTGTTTTCTGAAAGCAGCTGTCCGCAAAATGTCAAAACAAGGTGTGCGAGGAACGATACCACAACACGCATTAAGTCCTCCTCGTCCTCCTACGGACCGCCAGCCGAGCCAGCAGCCCAGAACAGGCGCTAAGAGTTGTTCCTGCGTATTTCCACTTGGACTCGTTCCTCTCGCTCTCATCTGTTCCTCACCAGGGGGACGTGTGGGCTGAGTGTGTGTGTCTGCATGTGTGTGTGTGTGTGTGTGGAGGTTAATAGTATTACATGATGGACTCCTAAGCTACTGCTGAAATACAGTCAGCCTTTTAGTGACTGAAATATGTTTTCATAATGTAATAATTCACCAAATTTCCTTAACAAAGCGGCTGAGGAGAGAGAAGGAAGCTGCTTGTGGCTCATGATGTAACTTCATCGTTTCTGTTGGATCTTCTGCTAAATAAACTGGAGAAATATTTTATAGAGGGATGGAGCTAGCTTGCTTTCTACCTTCATTCTTTTTCCTTTCTTCCTTCCTTTTTCCTTTCTTTCTCTCTTCATATTGTCCATCCATCCTTTCTTGCTCACTGCCTCACTTTCTTTTTTCCTTTGTTTTTTTCTTCCTTCCTTACTCCATTTGACAATTTTTTTTCCTTCCCTCATTGCAGTCTTTCTTTTTTTCATACTGTCCATCCATCCATTGGCTATAAATTCAAAGTAAACTTCTGTTTTTATAGTTCATAAATTTGTAGGGAATCCCTCAGAGCTTCGTAAACTTAAATGTGAAGAACAAACTTTGACATAAAAGCTTCGTTTGATCTCTGACATTAATCTGTCAGTTGTATCTTAAGAATTGGATCTGGATGTTAAATGTTAAACGGAAGTAAAACAAAAAAGGAAAAGGAAGAAGAGGAGGCTTGACTGAGGCGAGATGAGGTGACCGTCTGTAACGTTGACCAGTTACAACAGTTTGGTTTTATTTTGACTTTGTGCTTCGACAAATTATCTCCTGGCTCAGCAGAAAACCACTGCTAGTTGAGATGGAAAAGGAAAAATGCAGCTTGACTTATCCTGTGTTTCTTTATATTTCACTTCCAAACTGTCATTTGTTCCTACAATCCTTTAAAATGTTCCTCACCAAAATCTCTCTGAACTTCCTGAAGGATTTGAGTTTTCATCACCTAGAAAATCAACATTCACTGTCACCTGAACATGAATGCATATTTATAGTTTTTCTAGAGTAAATATTGTGTCTCAATCACTTTCCAAATAAGATTACA